GGATTTAATGGTTGATTTAATGGGATTTAATGGTGGTTCAATGGGATTTAATGGTGATTTAATGGGATTTAATGGTGGTTCAATGGGATTTAATGGTGATTTAATGGGATTTAATGGTGGTTCAATGGGATTTAATGGTGATTTAATGGGATTTAATGGTGGTTCAATGGGATTTAATGGTGATTTAATGGGATTTAATGGTGATTTAATGGGATTTAATGGTGGTTCAATGGGATTTAATGGTGATTTAATGGGATTTAATGGTGGTTCAATGGGATTTAATGGTGATTTAATGGGATTTAATGGTGGTTCAATGGGATTTAATGGTGGTTCAATGGGATTTAATGGTGATTTAATGGGATTTAATGGTGGTTCAATGGGATTTAATGGTGATTTAATGGGATTTAATGGTGATTTAATGGGATTTAATGGTGGTTCAATGGGATTTAATGGTGATTTAATGGGATTTAATGGTGGTTCAATGGGATTTAATGGTGATTTAATGGGATTTAATGGTGGTTCAATGGGATTTAATGGTGATTTAATGGGATTTAATGGTGGTTCAATGGGATTTAATGGTGGTTCAATGGGATTTAATGGTGATTTAATGGGATTTAATGGTGGTTCAATGGGATTTAATGGTGATTTAATGGGATTTAATGGTGGTTCAATGGGATTTAATGGTGGTTCAATGGGATTTAATGGTGATTTAATGGGATTTAATGGTGGTTTAATAGGATTTAATGGTGGTTTAATAGGATTTAATGGTGATTTAATGGTGGTTCAATGGGATTTAATGGTGATTTAATGGGATTTAATGGTGATTTAATGGGATTTAATGGTGGTTCAATGGGATTTAATGGTGATTTAATGGGATTTAATGGTGGTTCAATGGGATTTAATGGTGATTTAATGGGATTTAATGGTGATTTAATGGGATTTAATGGTGGTTCAATGGGATTTAATGGTGATTTAATTGGATTTAATGGTGATTTAATGGGATTTAATGGTGGTTCAATGGGATTTAATGGTGGTTCAATGGGATTTAATGGTGATTTAATGGGATTTAATGGTGGTTCAATGGGATTTAATGGTGATTTAATGGGATTTAATGGTGATTTAATGGGATTTAATGGTGATTTAATGGGATTTAATGGTGGTTCAATGGGATTTAATGGTGATTTAATTGGATTTAATGGTGATTTAATGGGATTTAATGGTGGTTCAATGGGATTTAATGGTGGTTCAATGGGATTTAATGGTGATTTAATGGGATTTAATGGTGGTTCAATGGGATTTAATGGTGATTTAATGGGATTTAATGGTGGTTCAATGGGATTTAATGGTGGTTCAATGGGATTTAATGGTGATTTAATGGGATTTAATGGTGGTTCAATGGGATTTAATGGTGGTTCAATGGGATTTAATGGTGATTTAATGGGATTTAATGGTGGTTCAATGGGATTTAATGGTGATTTAATGGGATTTAATGGTGATTTAATGGGATTTAATGGTGGTTCAATGGGATTTAATGGTGATTTAATGGGATTTAATGGTGATTTAATGGGATTTAATGGTGGCTTAATGGAATTTAATGGTGGTTTAATAGGATTTAATGGTGGTTTAATGGGATTTAATGGTGATTTAATGGGATTTAATGGTGGTTTAATGGGATTTAATGGTGGTTTAATGGGATTTAATGGTGGTTCAATGGGATTTAATGGTGATTTAATGGGATTTAATGGTGATTCAATGGGATTTAATGGTGGTTCAATGGGATTTAATGGTGATTTAATGGGATTTAATGGTGGTTCAATGGGATTTAATGGTGATTTAATGGGATTTAATGGTGATTTAATGGGATTTAATGGTGGTTCAATGGGATTTAATGGTGGTTCAATGGGATTTAATGGTGGTTCAATGGGATTTAATGGTGATTCAATGGGATTTAATGGTGATTTAATGGGATTTAATGGTGGTTCAATGGGATTTAATGTGGTTCAATGGGATTTAATGGTGATTTAATGGGATTTAATGGTGGCTCAATGGGATTTAATGGTGATTTAATGGGATTTAATGGTGGTTCAATGGGATTTAATGGTGATTTAATGGGATTTAATGGTGGTTCAATGGGATTTAATGGTGATTTAATGGGATTTAATGGTGGTTCAATGGGATTTAATGGTGGTTTAAATGGGATTTAATGGTGATTTAATGGGATTTAATGGTGGTTCAATGGGATTTAATGGTGATTCAATGGGATTTAATGGTGATTTAATGGGATTTAATGGTGGTTTAATAGGATCTAATGGTGATTTAATGGGATCTAATGGTGATTTAATGGGATTTAATGGTGGTTTAATGGGATTTAATGGTGATTTAATTGGATTTAATGGTGGTTTAATGGGATTTAATGGTGGTTTAATAGGATTTAATAGTGATTTAATAGGATTTTATAGTGGTTTAATGGGATTTAATGGTGGTTTAATGGGATTTAATGGTGGTTTAATGGGATTTAATGGTGATTTAAGGGGATATTAATGGGATTTACCATCCGGTAAACTGACACTTTGCTATGGAAAATAGACCATAGAAATAGATGATTTGCCCATGAAACATGATGAATTTGCAAACTGCAACATGGGGAACACATTTAGGTGGGAATAACCAAATATCGAGGATAGTTTTTGGGTTTCATGAGACTGAATAAAGATGGTTTAATGGGATTTGATGGGACTAAAATTTGGGAATGTGTCCTCAAATAGAGGTAATTATCCCCAAATCATTCAAAATTGCATCGTTTTTTTCATGGCATTACCCGATGAATCAGGACACATCAGCATTACCCGGCGAGCCATTAATCTCTTCCCGGCTCCGACTTTGGTAGCACCACTTGAAGTGTACGACAAGACATTGTTGGCGTCAAACAGTCGGTGTTTATTGGCCTTGCAGCGACTTGGGGATCATTTCAGGACACCTCCATAAAACATCATAAAACCAATGGGGATATAATGAGGATATCCAGCAATAAATGGGAATATCTGGATATTGCGCGTATATTGGAGATTTTATATGATTTTATGGTGAACATGCTGATAATTTCAATGGAATATCATGGGACAATCACAGAGAAAATGTGGGTATAATACGGATAAGCCAACTGCCATGGCAACATTGGTGATGTGCCTGGGGATAGAACTAAATATATATTGTATGATTTCTTTGGTACCCTGGCAATAAGTTAATGGGATGGGGATATTATACCATATTATACCCTCTACCAATATAATTGGAAGTGCATGTGAATAATATGGAATAATGTAATGCTAATAAATTGATGGGCATATATCTGGATACAATGGGATACAATGCACATGTAACCAACAAATACAATACACCCGGATGTAATTTGGATATAGCTAACAAATAGTTGTATACATACTTCCAGATATCAAGGGAATATAACCAACAAATGCAATATATAGGGATATGATCTATCTAGATAAATCATACTACGACCCCAATGATAGTTGCTGAGTGAGATTAATCCCCAAATATTTATGTAGATCTCAGATCATGTGTGAATGGCTGTGAAATGATGAGTTTAGCAACAAAATTGTGAATACTATGGATATATATATATATATATTTACAATAATAAACCAAACATATATATATATATGTATATATGGAGATAATTTGGAGGTGAATCAAATTGATATCATGAATGTGGAGATAGATCATTGTGCTTCAAAATGGGGAACATCACCAACAAAGTCCAATCGCTGGGGATATTACTGGGGTATGATTGGATACTGAAAAAGAACCCTCTGGTGTCATCAAACATGACCAGAAAATATCTTATAGATGATTTTCCCAGTTATCAACCTCCATCTATAATCATCTGGTTGGTGGTTTGGAACATGGCTTTTATTTTCCATTTTTTTTTATTTTCCATTTCATATATGGGATGTCATCCTTCCCATTGACGAACTCCATCATTTTTCAAGATGGGCACATTGCACCACCAACCAGTATTATTATTAACCATCATTAACCATCATTAACCATCATTAACCATCATTAACCATTATTAACCATCATTAACCATCATTAACCATCATTAACCATGGAAATCCCATTAAAATCCCAGCTGTTCCGATGATTTTCCCCGTCCAACAAAGTTCCAGGCGTCCGGGCTAATCAGCCAGAGATTGCCAGGGGAACTCAGAGTTTCGGAAGCGACGATTGTGGAGCTTTCAACAAACGATCTGGGTAAATTTCATCACGACATGGTTAGGATTCGGGAAATCATCCCCAAATGGCCGCAAGATTCAGGTCAGTGGAAATATTACAATTTACCCAGAAGAGATGTTTTTTGGGATACCCTCTGGTAAACGTTTACAAAAAACGATGGAAAGATCCACCATGCTATTAATGTGAAAACTCACTTTCTATATTTCCAATAGCTATGTTAGTTTACCAGAGGGTAGGTGATCTGATTTCTTACCTATTGGATCCTATTGGGATATATATATATATATAGCCAAAAATATTTGATGATCAAAGTGGGATAATCATGGGCAATCCACGATAATCCAATCTCAGTAATATATTATATATATATGATATTGTTATATTGTCATCATCATCTATCTCTCTCTATATATATATATACCCTCTGGTAAACTAACATAGCTATGGAAAATCACCATATTTAATGGGAAAACTCACTATTTCTATGGCCATTTTCAATAGCAAACTGTTAGTTTACCAGAGGGTATATATATAATATACACGAATCAAATTTATTTTTGGCTAAGATCCCCCAGTTTCATACTCTGCGAACCCAGGCCGCCAAGCTCTACCGTGGCACCGGCGCTAGCAGCGCGAACGGCGCTAGCGGCGTGCGCAGTGTGTCTGTGCGGCCGGCGCCACCCCGAAAAACTCGTGACGTCAACTGTGGGGGGTGAGATATGCAAAGTTATGCCATAAAAATGTTCACTTTTTGCCTTGTTTATGCCTTTTTAGAGGGCAAATAATGATTAAAACATACGTTAATTCTTGACTTATGGCTCATGTATGTGGTTGTGCATGCTATTTTACGGTGGGAAGTGATGATGTTTAAGACGGAAAATCATACATATTTTATTCATATTTTATGGCAATTGCATGATTGTTTTTATATGTTATTTAAATGGGGAACATGATGATTTTCCGAAGCATCAATTTTTCATGGCAACACTATGATCAATCCCTGTGGCTGTTCTCATGGGGAGAGTGCTTTTTTAAAACCTTGGGGCCCTTGGGGTTTGGGAAGATATATCAAGAGGATGTAAACCCAGATATGAGTTGTGGAACTCAGCGATTGCTGATCTTTATTAAATCGTTCCTCTTCTCCATGAGAATCAGTTGGTTTATGGCCATGGTTCAGCCTTCTGGACACCTAAATTGGAAGATCTGGTATGGTACTGACAACTGTGACCAAGAATCACATTTATACACTTAGAATTCCATGCCCACATAGTGCTGTTCGTGGTTGTTCGTGTGTGGAAGAAGCTGGTAAACAGAATATGTAGAGTCCCTTCAAGAAGTACGATTATGAATGGAATCGGTGATTTCAATACACATCATAGAGTTTCCAATAAAATCTGGGATTGACAGATAAAACCGAGCAATGCTGATGGTTTCTTGCAATTAGATTCACATACCCTGCATGCAACAATCTTCCAAATTTGTTGGATTATTTAATTATTTTCGGCCAAAACCTTTCGCTTGGGTAAAGATGTAGTAATAGTATATGTAATATAGTAATGTAGTATCAGTGTAAAATATTTCATTTTTTGGCATTTCTCATTTGGCGTCATGTTAGTAATTGTTCGTACGACTAGTATATAAACCATTCAAATTTATGCTACGTGATGCCATCAAAAATGGTATCACCTATTGATTAACATCCCATGGTCACACTGCAGCCATTTGGCCGCTCCGAGCACAAGACTCGACGAGAGACCACGTACAGAAAAACAGGGCCATGGCGAATGTGACCCACGACCAGGGCTTCCTGGAAACGAAAGCATCGGACCTGGTGACCTTTAATGTGAGACTTGGCTGTTGGAAGCTGTGCCCCCGTTGACGCTAAGTTGGTCTTTTGAAACCAAGAGCCACAATAATCATTAGGGGTTTTGCATGGTTATCATATGGCACATGTATCTCAGTGTTTAGAGTGTGAGACTTGCAAGCACTTGGGGGGCAAAAGTCGCATTGTGGAAGCGCTCAAGTGACCCTACCAACATCAATGAGGCGTTCATGTTCCCGATCGTTGGGGATGACTAGCTGACTAGCCAACCTCACCGGGCAAGTTAGTTCTTTGGTTTTTCATGCTATCTTAGTCAGATTTGCCATGTATGAAACTTTAATATTAGGGATCATTATGAATGCTTAATCATCTATTTGTTTCACTCGGAAAAATAAACTGCGTATCCCCCCAATTTTCAGATTGACCCATGGATCATATATATATATACATACATATATATATATGTTGATTTTCTCGATATCCCATGACATATCCCATAAAAGTATATAAAAGTGTCCTTGTTATATCGCCAGCACTGTATCCCCATTTTGGTGAAATACCTGGGTCCCAAATTTTTGGTCTCTTAAATTCCATCAAAAGCCAATCACATCTTATTGAAACCCATTGAATCCCAATAAAGAAATCTCATCAACAATTCATTTTAAAACCCACTACATCCCATTCAAATCCTTCAAATTCCACAGAAACATTGTAAAATACTCATGAAATGCCCCTTAAATCTGGTGTACCATCAACATATGGCTATGGATCAATACCTATACATACCATTTTTAGGGGGATGAACATCCATTTACCAGCTATTTTGATGTTCACCAGGGGGATAGGGTTTTGACCCATCCCCATATCCCAACTTTTACCGATCGCCTTTAAGGAGTGGCAAGATCTACCAGTTGTTGCGTGAGCCCACGCTGAGTTTGCACCCGACTTCGCTGCTGACGCAGATGGCGGAGGAGGAACCAACGGAACAACCAATCTTCGTGGAAGGTTCCGGGGAGAAATGCCTTGGGGAAAGCTTGGTTGAACATGTGTTGTTATGAAGATTGGTGTAAAATTATGTTAATTGGTAAGATCTATGTGATTTTCAATAATTATTTACTGGTTGTTCTTACCATAATGTTTCTGTTTCAAGAAGTCAATTAGGCAATACATGGTGGTTCCTTCTTAATGTAGTTGTTACTGTGCCAACAATTTGATTGTTTTTTGTTCATTAGGTTTGCCCCAACTCGTTATACTGGAAATTGATCGTTTTACATTTTACTTCTTTATCTACCTAGTTATCCCATTGTATCTGGGTTTGCTTTTTTGTCCCAGGGGGTAGATGTACCCCATTTTCAGACATACCGAGCTGTTGGGAGCCCTGTAAAAGGCGACCAAGAGCTTTTCAAGTTCGTGATCGATTACCATCGTGACCGCGACGTGTCTGAAGAATCATCACAGGATGGGCTATGACAGGCTGCCAATTGGTGGGGATATGGGGTGCTGTTACCAGTCCTTTGGTTGGAAATGCCTGATAATTTGTCCTAGGAAAATCATGAAAAAAATTACGGGACAGCCTTAAAATCTTACATTTCTGTAGGAAAATCATGTGTAAAGATAACATGAAGAACATACCATTTCCGCTGCTGTACACGATCCGCTCTCCCGACAGATCCTCAGCGCCATTGATCCATTGATCCTGGGATCTCATGAGGGATGGTATTTTCAATGGCTCAGCTGCTTCAACAAAACAATGCCACGTTTTCTGTTGCAAAGTTACCCCAGAAAGCTGCTTCAAGTCTCCTCGAAGTCCATCTTTTTGCTGGTGAAATGCCATCAGGGGATTTGCTTTTAGCTATGGAAAATGGATGAACATGGTCCATTTATAGTGATTTACCTATGAAAGAAGATTAAACTTTCCCATAATTATCCCATGTAAGCAAAATGTCTCAATATCAACAGCAAGTCTTGTTCATCCTCATGTTTTTGTGCAATACCTCTATAGTTCTTGGTTGTAATCTGTGTGTGATTGATGCGCATTTTGGCCGGTAAAGATATGTTTTTTGTGGAGGTAAATCATGAATTCTTGTTTTGGTTATGGATAGCAAAGCACAATTGATGTAGGTTCCACATGGTGCAGATCATATCCCCATCCTTGTCAGTTTAAATCAGGATTAAGCCTCAGAATTAGCCCAACATCGATGCTCGAGATCCACTCGTGCTTTGCAAAAAACATCAACCACATTTAAAGTAATTCCATTTTCCCAGGCAACATCGCCATGTTCTATCCATTTCATTACAATAAACTGATATAAACTCACAATTTATCCGATATCAAACTCTTCAAAAACACATCTTACAATATCTTACAGTTATTTAAAATATGACCAAATTCCATTCCATATATACATATATATATATGTATATACATATATATATATGTATATACATATATATATATATGTATATACATATATATATATACACATCATATCAGGATTTCTCAAGTTTCCTCATTTTTCCTTCGAAAAAAAAACACCGGTCCCACGCTCGACCCGTCGTCGTCGCCGTCCGAGGCAAGGTGATTTTGCCGCTGACGGTCTCGCGCTCGGCGGTGCTGCGGGAGCTGCATCGCTACGGCTTGGAGGTGCCCAAGGAGCGGCGCCTCGGGCGGTTCACGACAGGGCGGCTGGGGGGATGGCTTTTGGAGGGGTAAAAAGATGGGGAAAACCATCAAAAAACCATGGGAAATGTGATGAAATGTGGAAAAAGTGTTGGTTTTCATGGTGATTCTGATTGAATGGGGAGATCATGGGGATCTGTAAAGTTCATGTCCTGCAACCCATGATTTAAAACCTTTTTTGCCTATAGGAATACTGGTTGGTGGTGACTGGAACCATGGAATTTTGAATGACTTTCCATATATTGGGAATTTCATCATCCCAGCTGACGAACTCATATTTTTCAGAGGGGTGGCTCAACCACCAACCGGAATTTATTTCATCCTGGTAAATACTGTAGCTCCTGAAGAACCGCGAGAAATGGGTAAAATCCAATGTAGTGAATTATCCCAATGACTTCCTAACAGCGAGAAATTGGTGGTTTTTGAAGCAGCCCCTGAAAGTGTGAAGCAGCTACTTGGTTCACTGCATCGAGTCTGGGTAAATTATAACGACCTCACTACGACCGAGCCCTGGGAATCATGGTTAAGAAGGGAAATCATCCCCAAATGGGCGCAAGATTCAGGTTAGTGAATTACTATAATTTACCCAGATGATGTCTTTGATAATACTAGAATGAACTAAATAATTCACGTATTTTCATTGCTAAATCTTGGTGCATCATTTCTATGGAAGATCAAAAGGCACACCATGCGCCACACCGGGTGTCACAGTGTTCCAAGGATCGTCGAGGACGAGGTGTGCTTCCCGTCGGTGATGAGAAAAGTGACCGGTTGGAGTCAGACGCTCGGCGGACCTTCGGAAGGATCCAGCCGGTTAAAAGGGGATTTGGATGAACTGATGGCTAGGCCTGTAATTTACCAATAGAAATGGGTACATGTGGGTGAAATTCAAGGGTATGTGAAAAAACTGAATGTAAATGATGTTTTACAGGAAATAATGGGGATATAATGAGGATTTATGTTGATTCACGTTGATTTAATTTGATTTATGAGGATACCAACAAGAATAAACCAAGAAGTAATGGATATTGATGGGATATGATGGGATACCTTTCGGGTAAACCTTGAATGGTTTCTTCCCTTTTATCACTTGCTGAAAGTGGAGATCTATACTGACCTGTTGGATGAACATTCATTTGCGATCACAATTGGAACATAGTTGATCGAATCTGATCGATTTTCGATCATCATTCCCCTTTTTTCCCCTGCACATATCTGCACATCATCCAGCAATCACTTCAATCCGAAACAAAAACAACCTCTACCAGAAGGTCAAAATCTAGTTCATCAATAAGCCCATCATCATTTAAAGATCCAGACCATCCGTTTTATATCCTTTTGATATCCATTCCATTACCGTAACCTCCAACAATCGGTAAAGTCCATGAATAATCATCAATATTCATAACCACTCACCATATTCAGCATCATCCTAAGCATCCCATCAATATGGATGATGATCATCCATCCATAAATAAATGAAGGCATTTCATTGCTATTCATAATCATGTCAACCTGGATTAATAACCCCCGTTTACGGCTGTTGAATTGGGAGGCTACCATTTAAGTATCAGATAATGACTATTGGAGGAGTACCCCCCAATTAATAAACCATTGGTTTGTTACTCCGGGGCCACTCAGCGCTCACCGTAGCATCTCCTAACCATCCCAAGAATATGGATGATCATCCATCCGTAATTTTCAGGCATCCATTGCTATTCATCATCCATAAATAACTGGTTGGTGGTTTCAAATTGTTTCAAACAGGTTTTATTTTCCATTTCATATATGGGATGTCATCCTTCCCATTGACTCATATTTTTCAAGATCGGTGGCTTAACCACCAACCAGTAAAGATTGATGCTTAAAACATGTTAAAACCACCAACCAGTTGGTTTTTCCGTATATTGAGAATGTCATCATCCCAACTGACTCATATTTTTCAGGGGGGTAGGTCAACCACCAACCAGATTATTATTAACCATCATTAACCATCATTAACCATCATTGACCATTATTAACCAGTATTAACCATGGAAATCCCATTAAATCCCATTAAAATCGCTGTTGCACAGCTTTTGACACCCATTCACCATATATAATAACCAGATCACATCAGCTTCCATAGATTTCCCACGACCACGACGTAGCGACCGCGACGAGTCAGGAAGAACCACCGCCGGAAGACGGAGACCCTGGCGGCGCTGCTGGGGTCGCTCTTCGCCGATGCCGCCGTGGCCAAGGCGGCGCAGGACGCGGCGAAAACGAGGGGAACACGGGAGTGGCTACCCTCTGGTTATGTCAACAGTTTATAGGGGATTTAATGGTGATTTTCTATGGGATTTTATAGTGGTTTTTGATGGGATATTAATGGGATATACCCTCTGGTAAACTAACAGTTTGCTATTGAAAATGACCATTGAAATAGTGGATTTTCCCATGAAAAATGGTGGATCTTTCCATAGTTATGTAAACGTTTACCAGAGGGTAAGTGGGGTGAAGAGTAGATTTAATGATATGGATTCCTATGGTATATGATTCAGTTATGAATGATTTATGACTGATTCTTATATGTGAAGTTAATGGTTCTTCAAAGGATTATATAAACATGGTGTAGCTGAAAGGGGTTCTGATGGGAAACATCATGGTTTCCTCTAGGCTTTCGACCTTGGAAGTGGAACCAAGGCTCATTAGATCTTTTGGCCACATTGGGATGAAAATGTCACGAGACACTGCATTCACCAAAGGTTTTAGAGGATTTTGGAGGTACTATCATTAACCACCCACCGATTAGATCCCCACCAGGTCACTTAGTCATAGCCCAGGAAACGGGGGAAGGCTTTCGCGTCTCCACCCGTGAAGTGGCAGACATGATGGGCGTCAACGAGCATGACTCGGTCTACGCCCGACTCTTCCGCCACGTGCAAGTGTCGCAGCTGGAAGCGTGACTTGGAAGGTGCTGTTGGAAGATGTTCGAGGTATTCATGGGTATAATATATTACAATATAATCAATATATTAATATGGTATAAATCATAGTGAGTTCAGCTCCATAACTTGGGATATAACATGATATCAGCCCCAGAACTATGTTGTTTTTTTTTAACCACGTATAGCCACTTAGTTCATCTAGAAGTTCGCTGGACGCTGCCCAGGTCGGATAGTTTGTTGGACTTCGCGAGTTCCTTTGGATATTCCTTCACCGTCTCTGATCTGGCTGCAGGATGGTTTGATATCGCCACTCGAAGGGATCAGTGGGATGGATTGGGATGGGTGGAGCTACTGCTGGTTGGTGAACTTTCAGATTTGGGCAACAAAAAAACAACCAGCCACCCGAAAAAAGTGATATTGGAATCTTAATTTCATGTAATTTCAGTATGGACTTTCATAGCATTGCAATTTCCCACCACAAAAAACCAAAAAAAAAACACAGACCCGTACTGTACTGCAGGGCTTCCGAGATGACCATGCAGCATGGCCGGGATGCGATTTGATTCCCACTGATCATCACAGTAATTCATCAAGCTACATGGAAGATCTTCGCCTTCAGCTTGATGATCACCATTTTTCATGGGAAAATCCACTATAAATGGCCATTTTCCATTGCTATGTTAGTTCACCAGAGGGTACCCAAGATGTTTTTTGTTCAATTGCAGACTGTCAGACAAGGCGGTTTTCTGCATCAAAAGTCATAGAAAAAACATCTTGATATGCACACACTGCCAGGCTAAAAAATAAAGGTAGCTAACACCACGGACAGCGGTTGCCCCTTACACGGTTTCAGGCTCGTTACATCCATATACTGGAAACTCGTGGCCACATATTTGCATCCCCAAATTGCCTTGTTTTGGGCATTTCCCCTGAAAAGTTTGAACTAGTGTACATAGTTATTGACAGAATTAGTCCATCACCACTAAGATCCAATCAACCGGTTTATCATCAATTTCCCTCTTCAAACTTGCCATACCAATGTGATATAATGTGATAATTTGGGTATTCCCCCTATTCCACCGCCCCCCATTTTTCACGGCCTTTCCCACGAGACACCCGCGGTTTGTTTACACCAGGCTTTCAAGCCCATCTGGTAGCAGGAAATTCCGAACAGCGTTTCTCCACATCCGCCGTGACATCGCACAGTTGAGGGATGCTGAAAATCAAGGAAAGATCTGAGGTGTTTGTTCAACAGTATTTTTGGAAGCCAAAATCGAAATCTGATCGTTTGTGCCAGGACATGTGATACTTAGTTTGCTGACATATCTTTGAAGATTCCGAAACTTGAATTTTTTGTTCTGTAAGATCTGTACTGGTTGGTGGTTTGGAACATTTTTTATTTTCCATATGGGATGTAATCCTTCCCATTGACGTTCATATTTTTCAGAGGTGTAGGTATACCACCAACCAGTATTATCAACCATCATTAACCATCATTAACCATTATTAACCATGGAAATCCCATTAAATCCCATTAAATTCCCAGCTGCTGCACAGCTTTTGACACCCCAAACAGGTGATTTTGACCAACCACAAGCGCTGCGAAAGTTTTTTCAGCACCATCCAACCGAGATCTTTTTCTGGTTTTTCTGGCCCACAGCGGTGAAACAAAAACCACTGTTGGTTGATTGGTTCGGGGGTTGTACTTCCCAAATCCTATCCTATATAATACTTATATATATAATATATATCATTTACTGTTTCTATATCATTAATTATTACTAGAATAAATTAGCATTATCATTTCTACAATATATTGTGAGTATGATAATGCATGATGTGAATCTCCAATTCCCGTTCTACAGCAATATTTCATGGACCGAGCATTAATCCAAAGGCTGTTCTGACTGAGCACCTTATTTTCGACCTTCCCTCACAGACCATTTTAAACGCCCAGCCGCTATCACAGCGGATCACACTGCAACAGTTGCCTTAGCGACGAAAAAATGACTGTCGCATGTCCACTCGAAAACGTTTGCCCAGAACTTCTGGTGATCAAACATGGGTTTCCCATTAAATCACCAGATATACCCATTAAATCCCATTAATATATGGTGATTTAACCATGATATACCCATCAAATCGACCATATCACGTTTTTTTTTTAACTGTCTGTGAATAGTATCAAATAACCTCCGAATGGTTGGTGTTTTGGATGGTTTACCATTGGGTGTACCGTGCACCCCACCAAATGCAACTCGGGGGATGAGTTGGTGAGTAAAATCTGCTAGTTTCGATGGTTTAAATATACGTTTTATGATGTTTTATTTGATTTTGTCCCGATTGAAGAAACTTCCAGTTTGGAAGTTGAAGATATATGTCTTTCAGAATCAAGTCCACTCGCAGTTCCATGATGTTCCATTCAGAAGATAGCAACTCATGAAATTTCAGGTGCCCATGTTGCTTCACCTTTCGCTCGGATTTCGTCATTCAAACGGGAGCTTGATGCACCACTCTTTCTTGGGTCAACTATTTTCTGGTTGGTGCTTTCAAACATGACTGGATTATGTTCCATAATATATGGGATAATCCTTCCCATTGACTAATATTTTTCAAGATGGTTAAAACCACCAACCAGTTTTTGTGAGGTTTGAATCCCTGAATCGTTTGCCGTTCTCAGACCTCTTTGGGAACCATTTGGGACCGCTCCGCAGCATCGCTGCTTCGACCCTGGCGTGGTGCCATGTCTTCGTCGAAGGGGTCAGATTTGGTCTCCTTCAATGTGCAGCTTGGCTGCGTAATCTGGCTGTGGATCAAAAAAATCAGACCCAGCTGACCGGAGATTTTGGTTATGTTCAGTCCATGTTTTTTTGTTTTTTGGGAATGACCAAGTCTGACTTATGTTTTTTTTTGGGGGGGGGGAATGGCCAGGTGTGACGCATACCCAGTTATGCGGGTATACCCTATGGTTTTTGGGTCCAAATTTAGATACCCAAGGCGCTCCAGCCAACAATAAGGCTATTTTGGGGATCTCGAATATTAGAATCATCTTCATCCATCCTCATCCAATGGTGGGTTATTTTGACCCAAAACTTCGCAAAACCATTTGGGGATGGGCACAACATCGTCAATCCTCCAAAATGGATGGCTTTGGAATGTTTCAGACACGAAAGATCACCGGTGCCCTATGGCTTGACCCAAAGCCATCTGAACACTGAGCCATAGCCCCTACGCAAGGTTTTTGGACCCTTGAAAGACCCGGTTAAAAACATGACCATTTTACAATCCAAACTGTTGATTTGCAGCGGCAAACGTATAAATCATATAAATCTCACCAGATGTTTGGCTCCACATCAGTTCCATTTCTGGCACCTGAGGGGCGGCAAGATCTACCAAGTGCTGCGGGAGCCCACGTTGAGTTTGCATCCCAGCTCGTTGCTGACGCAGTTGGCGGAGGATCAGAAGGATGACAAGCCCATCTTCGTGGAAGGCGTGGATTGGATTTTTACAAGTTGCCAGATCCAGAAAGTTTACCCTCCGGTAATTTAACATAACTATGGAAAATCACCATTTTTAATGGGAAAATCCACTATTTCTATGGCCATTTTCAATAGCTATGTTAAATTACCAGAGGGTAATAGGGCAAAAAGATGCAAAAAGTGGTTCATACTTAACTCATTGACTCTTGGGGGATGTGCTTTTTTTGGGATGCGGCTCCCTTCTGTGCCAAGTCTTGAAGTCATGTGGGACATCCAATGCCATACCCCTGTGGGGATGATTTCAAATGATCCCCTGTGACCTGTGCTTGGTTGATGGGGTGGAAAAAATGTGGCTTTACCGCAGTGTCAACCGCTGATTTTTTTTTCAGTTGCCCTTGAGGCTATCATTGGGAAGGCTACCTGGTACGGCTACCATTTTAGTGGCAGATGATCAACCTGTTTTTTCATGCGGGCTTGACATGTCGTAACTCCGTGCGGAATATGAATGAAAAATAATAATATCAATTCTCTCCACACTTCAAGATCTTCAGGGGATGATAACCGGATGGTATAATATATTTAATATATTTGCCCGAAGCACCTGGGAAGGGATACTTCTCAAGCTGGCCATGTCACGAATTGGACCCAGCCGCAGGATTTGACCCACCGGAGAAGTCATCATCAGATGTAAATTGTATGAACATCGATTGGAAAATAGGTTTATATAAATTGGTTCAAGTTGGGTTGGATCAAAGATGGATCACTTGTATCTTTGAACCATCCACAGTGCCACATGATTGAACACATTGGATAGATATGGATAGATCAATAGATAAACCGTTGAAAAACCTTAGCTATAGAAAAATCACGCAGCGAGTTCCGAAGCATTGCGAAGCATTTTAAGTTATTTCACTTGGTCCACGGCCATCTTTGGGCAGGAGATCAGGATCTTTTCAAGTTCGTGATTGATTACCATCGAGATCGCAGCTGGCATGGAAGATCCGACATGGATGGGGTTGCCATGAAAGCAGTGACCACTTATTTTGTGTATACAATTGGGGGTTAAACTACCTGGTTTCTTGGATATTGCGTAGCATGATCAGCCAAGGCCCACTGTCGGAACCCCTATTTCGTTTATATTCTCTGGTAGAAACATGACTAGCTGGGAAATGTCCAGTTCTTCAAATCATGAATGGGGAATTAGTGGAGAATCATCTAACATCATCTAACCAAATCTTTGATTTTCCATTGTTGTATCAATCTATTAGATATTAGCTTTCCTGGGAGTAGACGGGAAACCATACATACAGAACAAGTTGTCAGCGGGCATGGCATCAAAGCAATGCACACGAGGAATAGCCAGCTTCAACATGCTTCAACTGTTTTGTTTTTTCGCTGTTGTGATATGTGATCAATATATTTTCGTAGAGAAATTACAGACTGCACTCCATTCACTTTATATAATTCAGCTATTTTTTCAGCAAACCTTGATAGATTGTTTTTTTCAATGTTTTATGTTGCTTTATCATTTGGTTTACTACATTCATGCATACATTTTTTTTTATGAATGATACAACAACGCAGTACATATAACATCTATAGTGTACTGCTCCCAAACCACAACTTATGATTAACATGATTAACATATACATGTCAAAGACACCCACCATTTGTGGATCATCGAATCATTATCAAAGGGCAGTTATTGGTTCTTCACGTCTTTTGATATGTTTCTCCTCGGGAAGGGCCCGGGCCGGCAGCGGGAATCCATTGGTTTTCCACGTCTGGCAGCGAGGCAAAGTCATTTTGCCCGTGACCGTGAGTCGCGATGCCGTGAAGCGCGAGCTGAAGCGATTTGCCTTGGAGCCTACGGAGGAACAGAGACTTGGAAAGCAACACACAGCGAACAGTTCATGTGGGACATTGGTTTGTCATGGTTTGTCCTGTCATGGTTTGTCCTTAGGGTTTGTAAATACATGGTAATACCATGTAATACCCTAAGGACAAGCTTCAAAGTTGTAAATGATGAAAAATCATTGGATCCTTGAACTTGTTGGTCACTTTTGGACAAAGCTGCCATGGCTAAGGATTGTGCAGGATGGTGTTTACTTTCCAGAAGTCATGGGAAAGGTCGCCAAGTGGAGGGATTCTAATCGCACTCGCAAGCGGAAGGCCTGTCAGGATTTTCTGGGCAGCTGCATTGCAGAAGCGGCGTACAGCAAAATGTCAGAATCAGCTGGAAAAGAATTCCGGGTCATCCGTGGTGATCTGCCCTATTCAGAGAAAGACTTCGAGACTGGATTGGGAAAGCCTTGGATGGTTGTTTAATATAGTTTAACGATCTTTAACGTTTGGACTACTATGATCTAATTAATATGTGTGTTTTGTTTATAATAGTTTATAATGCATCTCTGATTGGTGGTTTGGAACATTTTTTCCATATATTGGGAATGTCATCATCCCAACTGACGAACTCATATTTTTCAGAAGGGTAGGTCAACCACCAACCGGAAATTAATCATCCTGGTTTTCATAGCTCCTGAAGAACCAACCAGATCGAAGTTTAGAAACGGGAAATCTGTGGTGGGAACCCCAGTTCCAAGATGTTCCAAAGATGTTCCAACCAGAGCCATGGAGCTTTTCCCAAACAACCATTTCCCATGTAGGGATTTTCATGAACATGGCTATTAGAACTGGCTAGAACTGAGGCGCGTTGCAACCACCAATTCATCATCGACCAGTAATTTTCTAAAATTTCAGGATGATTTTACGAAAGTCTATCTTTTTTCTTGGGATTACCTCCCCCCAAAAAAAACAGGAATGTCATCCCATGTCATCCCTCAAGTGACTCCTTCAGCCATCTCAGCAAGGAGAGGCTCTTTGGCCCTGGTGCTGGGTTTCAGGTGGCAGAATCTGAGGCCCTGAAAGACTTCGGAAGTTCTTTCGGAGACCTGGCAGACCTGGTTCCGTCCGGCGGTGGAAGGGACAGCGATATTTTTGAATTGGTGAAGAGCATATAACTGAGCTAAAATGTAGGGGTTATGAATGGATACCTAGAATATACAGTTACATAAATTATATATATATATATTTATATTTATATTTATATATATATATAAGTATTTATGCATTTATTTGTTGATTGATTCAGTTATTGTAGGATGAGATCAAAGACCCAAACAAAGTTTGGCAAAATTAGTTTAATGTGATACAGTCAATCAACCATCCCCCATATGACCATAGATATCCATAAATTAGTGGCAACAAAATGATCCCCAATTGGTTTATTATTTGGTTTACCACTTTACCACATTATTCCATGTCATTACTAGGCTAAGTAGGATGTCTATGAATGGTTTGATTTATCCTACTGTATAGTCTGTTGGCTGACATAATGATAGTCACCCATGCTTTTATTTCGGGTGTAGAACAGGAATCAACCAATATTCTTGGGATACAAGGAGCAACAAACAATGGATCTTAATGTAAACTGGTAGACCGATCAAACATTCAAGTTATTCAAGTTATGTTTGTTGGTCTATCAACATCTATCAACTAAATCCAGTTGTATGTCATCTATGTCAAACCTCAGTCGTCGTGGTTATGCAACAACTAACCTATCGATTGGATCCCCTTCCTGCAACTGGGACCCAACTGGCTAATGGTTCGTTGGATGTTTTTTGGAGCCTTTAACACGATGATTTTTCAATCAATGACGGGGATTTGGTTTGTTCAAACGTAGGGGATGGGCCCAAAAAACCATCACAGAAAACCAGCCGGTGGACTTCGAAGATTTTCCGAAAAAAGCTTTTTGGACCCCGCATCCGCCCCAGGATATTCCTTTACATGTGGCAATCGAATGGGCTCCACCGGGCACTTTTGCTGGTCGCACACAGACTTCAAACCAGCTTGAGGGGCGCTGCAGGTTTCACCATAGTCTTGAAACCTACCCGGCCTGGTAAACTAACAGTTTGCTATTGAAAATGACCATAGAAATAGTGGATTTACCCCCAAAAATGGTGATTTTCCATAGTTATGTTAGTTTACCAGAGGGTAACCTGGGTGACTTGGGGATCAGCCAGTAAGAACCCCCAGCGGATGGGGGTAGCTTTGCTGTGGCCCTAGCGGCCCAAAAAGGGTGGCCCAAGTGTGTCTTGGTGAGTCACGTGTCATTGTCGCAGCATCAATTCGCATGTCAGAGCCGTCAAAGCTATGGCCATGCTGCGTTCGTCGCTACACAACTTGGATGTGTGAGAAAACGATGCCCGTGGGGGCGTCCCAGATGACATTCAGCCTCATAGTGCATACATACTGACTCATACTGTTGTTTCTTCCATTAACATTTTAGAACACCAGTTATGACCGGCTCATACCAAGGGTTCCGAGCATCAAAATCGGGAATTGGCATGAGACTATCCAAGTGATACTGGGCACTGGGTTATCAGTGTCGGGCATGTTTCGAATGTTGCAAGGTTCACCTATCAATCAACCGAATCCTTACTCTTGCGTTTCCGTGCCTAATGATAGTTAATGGATGTTAATGAGGCTTATAGACGTTAACTTAAAATCTGGGGGATGAGAATTCCTTGTGTTTTATGAAGGATATGAAGGTTGGACCGTTGGACCTGGAAGAATGACCTTGTCGCAAGCGGTTGACGCTCTCTGTGAGGTCCACCTGATATGTGCCACAACTGCGATACATGGCATCAGATGTGACAGTTTTGAAAACAAACGACTGACACGTGAACCCCAAAAAAGACATATTGGCCCGAACGTCCCTTAAAGCAATCCAATTCACCGAATTTCCAACAGCCATAGACCAAGTGGTAGATCATCGCCCCAAGAGATGCTCCCAGTGGTATACTGATTCATCCCTCAGGTTTTTCCTTCAACAGGCACCTTCCAAAACACGTAACATGAGTCGTTTTCAGTGAGGAATTCCCACACCTGGCCCCATGTCGTGCGCGAAAAGCTCGGATCTCGTCACCTTCAATGTGCCGCTCGGCAGAAAAAATCCAGCGATGTTTTGGAGGTTGATGAAACACATAAGACTCTCCAAGTGGTTAAACTACTGCTGGTTGGTGGTTTCAAACATGAATTTATTTTCCATAATATATGGGATGTCATCCTTCCCATTGACTTTCTTTCAGAGGGGTTGAAACCACCAACCAGACTGTACTGCCATGCCTTGCCTGTTTTCGTATCTTTTGGTTTGTTCGTTTGGGTTGATCACATTTATGGCACTTCTGTCTACTATCATCCACTATCAAATGAGAATATTACAGATTGTTGGTGGTGGTCAAGGGTGGTAGCTCAACCATCAAGCAGATGAAACATTTGGAATGTGGGAGAGTTATTGGGGCATTTGTTTTGTATCCTTTTGAACATATATGGAAATGGCTTGCTACATAAGTACACCTCGTCCAAACAGTTTGGAACTGAATCAGGGGCACTTCATGGGCTTCTTGGCGTTGCGCTGATGCTAGAGATTTGGGATTGCCGCAACGCCAGGAACATCCAGGAACTTTGTACTGCAAGTCATTGGGAATAGAAAAGTGGCCTTGCCATCATTTCTGGTGTCCACACATGAATTACCAATGGACCGTGCGTCAATTGGTGTTCAAAAAAATTGACCCAATTTCCAAATTGATTGTAATGACTTGCAACTTTAGGTGGTTCATCGATTCCATTCTTCTTCTGCCCAGGGGTGGCAAGATCTACCAAGTGCTGCGGGAGCCCACGTTGAGTTTGCATCCTAACTCACTGCTGACCCAGTTGGCGGAGGATCAGAAGGATGACAAGCCCATCTTTGTGGAAGGTCTGGGTGGGTGGTTGGAATTACCAGATGAGCTTTTCGGATAGATGCATAGTCAGATTAGTCAGGCTGCATGTGTGGTAAAATATCAGTGATTTTAGGGTAAACAGGAGCAAATCTTTGAGGAGCGTGGAGTATATGGTCGATGGTGTGCGGCCCCATTGACCACCTGGCTCCCCTCGAGGCAATAGGCTTTCCTCGAGGCAACTGTTTGTACAGAGTATATAGTGAAGGACATCATAACTCCAAGCAAGTCTATTTCAAGGCTATTCAAGGCTTGTTACAATATAAACCCCATCAACCGTTTTTCAGCAAAAGTTGTGAACCCAAACATGGTTTTGGTTGAAAGAGCCTTCACATCACGTGCCTTTGCATGCAACATCTGCCTTCTCAAAGGTGACCAAGACCTCTTCAAGTATGTCATCGATTACCACCGCGACCGCGCCATATTTGCATCAGGAACCGCTTCACCCAAGGGTTTCTGTTCCTGTTGGTAGTGGAAAAACTACCTGAACAAATTGGATGGATGGTGCTAAACAGGTGAAATTCTTGATGTTGATGTTTGGAGAGGAAAGCCAAAGGCCAAATACATCTATTAAATCAACATCATGGCAATTCATCCTATTTTTCATTGGTTGACATTGGTTTAATCATGTTCCCCCATGTTAAACCAACCCATGCTATACCATGTCACCTCACCAGGATTGGCTGAAGGTCAATTGCTTCATTTTTTCACTGCTGATTCCACAATGTTATTTGGGCAATCTACTGGGAATAGCCAATCGGCCTATCCTTGGTTGTTGTTATTATTACTTATTACCATTGTCATTTGTTATCATTGCATATCAGCTGCTATTGTTGTTGCTGTCCCCCCTGGATGCCAATGTGAAACCGAGGTAAAGTCATCCTCCCCATCACCGTATCCACTGATGCCGTGATGCGCGAGTTAAAGCGGTTCGGCTTGGAAGCGGCAGAAAACCAGTTGCTGGGCGAAACATTGTGAAGCATAGCGCGCTGATCGAGCCAATGGGTAGCTTCTGGTGATTGAACCACTTATTGTGCAGTTGTTTATTGCTATTTATCGATATCAAAATTACCTTAAACCTTTATTGCCATACTTTTATTACCATATAATATAAATGATCACAGGGTGAATCTGATGGTCTGTGGTTTTTTTAGGCAGTGCAGTGCACAAGAACCCCATGAATTTTAAGCCACGGCACCGGAGAACACTCAGCCGCTTGGATTCCTGAAATCGGAATCCTTGGTGTCGCCAGAGATCACCAGTAGTCGATCGCCAAACTCACATGGCCAGAGTATCCCAAGTTAACATGGCCAGACTCCCAACTTAAGAATGGGTTTTCAAGAATCGGTTTTCAAGAAAAAATGTCCCACCCTTCAAGCACTGCTAAGGATCGTGCAGGACGGCGTTCCCTTCCCTTCTTTGATGCGAAGAGTCGCCAAGTGGCAGGAGGCCAACGTAAGCCGCAAGAGAAACTGGGCAGCCACCCCTGCTCTATGGTATGGTGTGGTTTAACCATCCCAAAATCATCCCCAACAGTTATTGTTTTAACCACATTATAGGAATTTAACCACATTATTGTTTTGTAAATTTTTATAATGTGGTTAAACCAATGTCATAAACCATCCCAAAAATCACTCCCAAATGGGTGGTATGTTTACCAATCCCAAATGGGTGGTTTATTATTGTTCTAAAAACATTACGCTTCATTCGTTTTCAGGGTCAGTATTGGATAGTATTGGTAGATATTCCATTTATGGGTATATAGATGGAGCATTTGGGCGTAGTTCTCTTGAAAGGGATTATTTGTTGGCGCCGCGGATCCCATGGTTAAGCCATATCCCATCATACACTTACAGTAGATATGTTGTTTTGGGGGCAAATAGATGGGTAAAGACGACATATCCCACTTGTTTTCAACTTTCAACCTTAGGAAGGGGATCAACAAAGCGCTAAGGAAAAGCGACGCTGGATTTTATCGGAAGTTTAATTGCAGAGGTGGCTTCCGAGAAAATGGGACAAGCAAAGGGAAAGGCGTTTTCCATCCGAAGAAACGATTTGCCTTGCAATGAAAAGGAATTTGACAGGCTCTTTGGCAGAGTTTCAGCATCGCAAGTGCAAGAGTCAGAGGCACTGAAGGACTTTGAGCGTAGCTTCGGATATGTCTTCGCGAGCTTCGGTACTGGAAGCACTGCCTCCTGGATGTCCACAGAATTCAGACCAGTGTGAGTGGCGTGTGGCACTAAGTGTGTCTTGGAAGTGCCAGTGTGGTGATGTTTCATGGTTACCCTCTGGAAACTAACATGGCTATGGAAAGTCTCGATTTTTCATGGGTAAATCAGTGAGAAATGCCAAGTTTCAATGGCTATGTTAAATTACCAGAGGGTAACTCACCATGTTGTGTTTTCTTTGTTAAAGCCACATCTTTAATGGCTACCCCAAGGAAACCATCAGTTTCCGGGCTTGCCCTTTTCAATGGCTAGTTGTTGTAACATGAGAGGCACCAAAGTCGTGGCTTTCACAAAATTGATGTGACAAGATGCCCTGGTGGATCCTGTTGATGGTGAAGTTTAGACTCTAGACTGTTTGGATAGGTGATGTTTACCCTTCATCATAGCACATCATGAGAATCCTTGGAATTCTTGTTCAACCAACTATAGTAGGAACAATCTATATTTCAATCTACATGTGTTCTTTGTAGCTCTCTAGTATTGATTGCTTAGCACAGCCCTTTTCTGGACGGTCAAGAATGTTACCATTTCCAGCAGGTTTCGCACATGGTTTCTGCACCCTTGAATATCAGCCATACATGGCAGCGGACCAATGCACAGACCAAACATGCTTCGGGAGTTCTGGGAGTTTCTTACTTCTTGGAAAGATGATTTGCATTGGGATGTAACAAATATATACAAGTATTTTAGTTGTGAGCTGCGCTGAAGATGATTTCGTATCTTCCAATTGCTTAAACCCCGGGGAACTTCTTGGACATATGTTTTGGGGGGTATCCCGGTGAGCAAGTGTGTCAAATGCTTTTTTCTTGAAGCTTGCTTTGTTGGCAGGTTTTGTTGGGAAAAACACCCATCTCCGGAACTGACAACATATGGACAACTCATCCACAGTAGGGAATGGACACTGGACATTGTGACAACAATTGTAACATATGCAAAGAGGGGGAAACTGATACAAATGTTCCGCTATGAAAGCCTATCTTGATATACATTTTAATGTCCAGTCACCCTGTGGCAAGCCGGGTCCTTTTTGTAGCCTCAGAGATATGTTCTGTTCTTGAGCATTGTTTTGATATCATGATTATGTTTTAAATATTTTGTGTGAAAAAAACATCATGTCCGGAACCGACAAAATATGGGCAGCTCACCCATAGGGAAATGTAGTGAATTTACTTTTGGAGATGGCGAGAACCATTGCAGCACACATGCGAAGAGGGCAAACATAAGCATGATCCACTATGAACATTCTATCTTGATATAAAATGATATAAGCACATTATGTGTCTGACAATGTTTTAGGTCATATCACGAGAGACTAATTTCACCTATTGTTTTTGGTTATTTGGATTCTCCATCAAAGATTATGTTCCAGGCAACACCACAGGGATTCTTCAAGCGTTTTGTTTTGGCAATAGCCCATTTTTTGCCTTTGACAAAAGGTACGATATAGATCGGTCCTGCATTTAAAACAAGTTGTCTGTTTTTGATTCCGATGATTGGTTTTGCCGGTTGAGGTGTTTATATGTGTCACTCCATTTCAATAAAATTCTAAAATGAACATAAAGTTAACCAAATCTGCCTGACATGTCTCAACTGTTTCACTTTCTAAGTGGCAGCCATTTGTCGCAACGTGAGCAAAAGCCTCGCCTTGCTTCGCCGGCGTCGCGTCGAAACCGTCGGTTGCCATGTCGTGTGGGTCCGGCTCGGATCTCGTCACCTTCAATGTGCCGCTCGGGTCACAATATGGTCTGCATTTGGCAGAATGGGATATATTGTTACATATTGGATAATATTGTGTGTGTATATATATATAGTTCTGCAGATTTGCGTGTTTGTATGTGATTTAGTTTTTGAGTCTATGTAAGGGTTTTTAGTTGGCATGTTGGGAAAAGGAGATGGTTTGTTTGCGCGCTAGGTTTGAAGGAGTTGTTTTTTCTCAGAAGCACAGTGTTTCCTAAAGACTTTGAAATCCACTGAAGTCCTCAAAGATTGTTTTGTTTACTGCCTATTCCCAGAAGGTCGATCCAAGATCATTCATCCTCGGCCCAGGGGCGGCAAGATCTACCAAGTGCTGCGGGAGCCCACGTTGAGTTTGCATCCCGACTCACTCCTCACACAGATGGCGGAGGATCAGAAGGAGGACAAACCCATCTTCGTGGAAGGTCTGGGTGATCTGTTTTCCTGGTGGGCTCTCCGTCCATACCTTTCAAGGATAGATTGACATGTTTATGCCGGGGTCGAAATTCTCCTGACCGATTGAGGGGCACCGGCTGGAACCTCAAAGCAGAAAAGCCTATTGATTGGGATATGGATTCCAAGATTATTTCCTTCAATTGGAACAGTCATGATCCCAATTTGAACACCTCCAGCCCGTTTGAATTTGAAGGCGATTGGGTTTAGGGGAAGCCTCTTAAGTAATTAATTGCTCCATCATGCAGTTTTGGTGCTTTTCCAGTTTGTACTGTCCCAGTTCGATTGCCGGGCACCCTTCCCTATCCTTTGTCAGGGCCGTTCATCAGCTCCATGGAGTATTCCAAGATGTTTGGCTTGAAACATAGATAATGTCTCAAATAGATGCTTCTCTTTGCGTTTCCATGTTACTGGAAGTTCAGTGACCACTAAATTACTGCATTCGCATGTGTTAGGTATGTTGCATCTCTTGATTTTACTTCAATGGGGTGTTCCGATCGCCGTAAAAGTGTGGCAGGTGATCAAGACCTCTTCAAATTTGTCATTGATTATCATCGAGACCGCGACTGGGATGAAATGAGCCCAGAATGTCCGAAGTAGTTTCTCTCCGGCTGTATCGACAAGTGCTGCCATTTCAGCAGTTTTGAGCCTGGAAGAAGGCAAAACAAAGTTTAAGCGCATGTTTTATTAGCATTTTCTGGAAACCAGTACAGAAAGCTTGAACAAAGACGGTTCTGAGGTTGGTGTTGAAGTTTTTTTCAATCGCCAGCCATTTTGCTATTTACCATCTGTCATTGAGCTCGGGAGAGTCCCTAAGGGCTTTGTCTCCCATTCTGACATCGCTTCCATCCACAGTTGATTAGTCGGTACTAGACTCTGTTTGTGGTGTACGTACGTAAATAACCTTATCAACACCTGGACATCCAAGGCGACCAGGCGTATGCTGTGGTGCCAAAAGTAAATGTTCTTGGTTCAGTTCTTGATTCAATCTCTAGGAACATGTTTGATAATTCTGTTCACATGTTATTCGGCAGTGACCAGCAACTGCACCGCAAAGCAAACCGAACGTTAGGTTTTACACTAGCTAGCAGCTAGAACACATGAAGCTACCTCTTCATCAAATGAAGATGGGTGAGAACCTATTGCATGAAAATTTGGATTATCAATCCATGTGCCAGCTAGATTGGTGTTCTCAAAACACGGCACGGGGGTTGGTCCATGAGGCTTCAATGGCCACCTGCCAAGGCAAGGTCATCCTCCCCATCACCGTGGCCAAAGATGCCGTGCTGCGTGAGTTGAAGCGCTTCGGCCTGGAACCCACTGATGACCAGCAACTTGGCAACGCCAAGTGATGACTCCGGGGCCGGTTCCGATTGATTTTTGGACACTTAACCCTGTTGCAACATGTTATTGGATGTACTTCATATGATTCTTAGGGGTCCTTTTCCTGGATTTTCTCACCAAACCAATTAGATATGAAATTGTTTCAGAATTTCTTGGGGTTCATGATGCTTAAGATCAGGCTTAGCAACCCCAAGGATCATGAGTCAAGCAAGTATTTTTAGGGAGCAGCAACTTGGCACTGCAAGAAGCAATTTATGACCCAGGCAGGGCGTCCTTATCCATGCAGCTTCTATCCCAGAATTGAATGATGGGAACGTTTATAGGACCCCCCCCGGGTATTTGGTGGCAAAAACGATGTTTTCTGGCAAAGCTTTCAATTCCTTCCACCAACCCAATGACCAAGTCTACTTTCACTGGGTTGAACGAAGCGACGAAGAGCAATCTTATAGCAACTCGAAATTACGTAGAAAAGTTGGAAAGGTCGAAATTCAATGAAATTTACGGCAAGCCCAAACAGATTTATGGCATCATTGAAAATATTGAAACAAGCGTGTCTAGATTTTCAGGATTCCTATGCATCAACTTACCACGAACCAACACAAGTTGTTGTTTGTCATGACAAATTGAAGATTGCCTCCTTTCTTTTCGTTGAGCATGCGTGGATTGAGACGTTGGAAAGTTGAAAGCAAATCAAGGCCGTAAGTTCGGAGATTTAGAAGCGACGTTTTCTTTCTTTGGAACATGGGCCGGTTTTTGAGTTTGCATTTGTTCTTTGAATTGTGGTTTCCTAACCATTCCTAAGTCACCACCGTATTTGATTATTTCACTTGTGTTCTCACCCTCGACGCAATGAACTGCTGAAAGTGCTGTGTATGACCTGGGATTGCTCAATTTGAGGTTTTAGTGCAGATGTGCAGTCAATATCCGACCGGCCTTCCAAAAAGAAACTCCCACTTCCAGATTTCCTGACCATCAATGGATCATTGCTAGGATTGTGGAGGATGGCATCTGCTTCTCTCTAGTGAAGAACAAAATGCGGACGTGGCGAGACAGAGGCCGTAAGCTGAGGGAGCAGCCCGCGGCAGAGTTGCTGTGCGCTGTGATGATGGAATCAGCTGCGGAGAAATCCGCACAGGATTCTGGAACGGGCTTTTTAGTTAGCAAACATGACATGACACAAGCGTTGAGTATTGATGACACGGCTTTCAGGAGCCTTTTCCGCAATGTGGCATGTCGGATACCCTGTGAGTCTGAAGACTTGCAACGTTTTGCACAATCCTTCGGATATTCAATGTCAGTGGAAGCCCCAGGCAACACTACCGTGCAGGATTACCACACTTGGGGTAGTTCCAATTTGTCGATGAGGTTCACTCCAGAATTTCAATTGAACACAGCGGAAGCCTGATAGCTGCAAGCCTGTGTGCTACCAACAGCCCACATTTCGGGCTGTACGCCGAACTTCCGAATTTGTATGTTGAATTGGTAGAGATCTGGGTTTGCTGTGAAGCCGGACCCAGGTCTGGGGACAACACACATTTTGCTGTGATCTTTGGATCGGAAATTTGGGTAAAGGAGTGTGTGACTTTGTGAGTTCGAAATTGGGTAGTCGCTATGAAATCTCTGAGTGGCAAGAAAAAATGAAACAACGATCTGAAAATACCCGTACTAAGACATCAGCCGCTCACTTGGTCTCATTGCTCTAAATGCACCAAACTGAACCCACCGTCGAGTGCTCATTCAAGTGACAGCAGCGTGGAAGAAAAGCTTGCACCGGTCCGCAGATCTGTGTGATACTGTGTATATATGGTAATATATGGTATATCTACTCTATATCTGATTAAATTTGGGGGTGTCTTAAAATTGGGGTACCCCACATCACCCAAGTCATTAGAACATGTTAATATTGAAACCCATGGGTTTTTGGGGTATACCCACCATTTTGGGAAGCCTCATTTGGCCACCAAATAGGTGAATGTCCTATCAAGAACGGGGCATCCCAGTAAGCAAGGACTATTTACCTCGTTTTTTCTTGGTGAATGGCCAAAACACGGGCATTGGCAGAACTATAAAACCCAGCGAGTAATGTTGACACTCTTCTGGTTTCTATTTTTCCATGTGACAGATACCGTGCATGTGTGTGTGTCTATGTGGGCCAAATGTTCTGTTCTTGAGCATTGTTTTGATATCATGATTATGTTTTAAATATTTTGTGTGAAAAAAACATCATGTCCGGAACCGACAAAATATGGGCAGCTCACCCATAGGGAAATGTAGTGAATTTACTTTTGGAGATGGCGAGAACCATTGCAGCACACATGCGAAGAGGGCAAACATAAGCATGATCCACTATGAACATTCTATCTTGATATAAAATGATATAAGCACATTATGTGTCTGACAATGTTTTAGGTCATATCACGAGAGACTCATTTCACCTATTGTTTTTGGTTATTTGGATTCCCCATCAAAGATTATGTTCCAGGAACACCACAGGGGATTCTTCAAGCGTTTTGTTTTGGCAATAGCCCATTTTTTTGGCTTTTGACCAAAGGTACGATATAGATCGGTCCTGCATTTCAAACAAGTTGTCTGTTTTTGATTCCGATGATTTATTTGCCGGTTGAGGTGTTTATATGTGTCACTCCATTTCAATAAAAATCTAAAATTAACATGAAGTTGACCACATTTACCTGACATGTCTCAACTGTCCCACTCCCTAAGTGGCAGCCATTTGTCGCAACGTGAGCAAAAGCCTCGCCTTGCTTCGCCGGCGTCGCGTCGAAACCGTCGGTTGCCATGTCGTGTGAGGCCGGCTCGGATCTCGTCACCTTCAATGTGCCGCTGGGTGAAAGCCCGGAGAAGTAGGGAATGTTCCAGTCAGCATGGCTATCAACTGGTTCAGGATATCTTGAAAAATCCACTATATTCATTGGAAAAATCATTCCCACTATCATATTCCACTATAATCCACTATATTCATTGGAAAACAATGGAAAATATATAAGGGCTTATCATAGCTATATGCTTATCCATAGTGGATTTTCCAATATATTCCAGTCATGGCTATCATATTTATAGGCTATCTGGAAAATATGGGAAAATCCACTATAAATGATCCTTGGGAAGGTGCTGGGTGCAATATGATGCAATTTGCGGCTTCCGTTTGGGTTTGTTTGATACTGGGGCAGCCCAAAATCCAGTTGTTTATCAATTATTTTCACAGTGAAATGGTACTTTGGGGGTATAATCCATTTTTTGGACAAACCATAGATTGTTGGAATGTCTGTAATGATGAATGATTTGATGATAATGGGAAATTGACCAACAATGATAGGGATATAATAATGGTTCTTTTCACTGGAATATATACATTATAGCCAGCAATACGATTAATGGATTTGTCTGGAAATAGCATATACCCCCCAAACAGCATTTTGAGAAGAGAACATGGCAATTACCCGCTGGATTTAGGAGTATTATATTTTCAGACAAACATGGCTAGCTGCGAAATCCACGAACTACGTGGGCATTTTGATGGAAAAAACACTACATGGCATGTTAATCCCTGATTGTTTTCAGAATTTCCTGGGGCCAGCTGCCAGCACGACCAGATGAATCCAGATGAATTATGCTTTGTTTCTGTTTAAAACAGATCTCATGATCTTCTTTCAGCCTGTTGAAAGAGAGGGTCTTGTCTGCTGAGCTATGCCCCCAAGCACATAGATATCCATGTTAACACTGGTGGGGGAAGCAAAACATTCTCTGACGATCTCTGACGTTGATTCGTGTTACTATCGAGAAAAGTGCATCCAAGACTAATTGGGCTGGTATCAAAATAATGGTCAACAATATTTCCGTTTGATACGTTTGGTATCTTTCTTACCTATTAGAATTGCCCATTGGTGTTGCTACAGTGGGGGGACCATCGAAATGCTGTGGGATGCTGTGGGTTTCCGCCGTTGCTGCGTGTGTTTCGCAAAGGGGCGGCAAGATCTACCAAGTGCTGCGGGAGCCCACGTTGAGTTTGCATCCCAACTCCCTCCTCACACAGATGGCGGAGGATCAGAAGGATGACAAACCCATCTTCGTGGAAGGTCTGGCTGAGAGGGTGGGAGCAGGTCTGTTGAGGTGGTCCATCCATCCTTTCAAGGATAGGTTGGAGGTTCATGATGGTTGTGTTTAAAAATTTGGAGACCTCAACCTTGATGGTTGTGTTTAGCCACTTGAATTGACCCTTTTTGGGGTGTCAGCTGTTACTTCAGATAGACCAGCTGGTGGTTTGGCTTCTTATGTAGACTTTGGGTTGTTTTAGAGGGTTTTGGGGTTGTTTTAGAGGGTCTTTGCCAAGAGTCTCAGATGTCTATCGCGGTTGGTGCCATTGTTCTCGCAGTTGCCAAATTTAAAGCACATCTACATTATCTACATATATAGTGTCTGAAATCGCGTGCCCAGGGGGTTGAATCCAATTGGGGACGATCCTTGGGTGTTCATGGGACATTCAGCTTTTGTTGACAAGGCCTTGTCAGCCCTACAACCTTCTTGACCAAACAACTGCTATAACGATGGGTTGAGTTCTGCACCTGCAAATGTCGCTCGGGGCGGCACTCTAGCACTTATCTACTCTTCTCTATGCTTAGGTCACTTGTGTCCTTCCAACATTTGCCGCCTACATCAGGCTTTTCTTATTTGTTCAGGAAGTAAGCCACCGCCTTGTCAGCGAATCCGACAGCCGATGCGCCCATGATGATATCACCTCTGTGAAGGTACTATTGATGTGCAAACTCTTGAAGATCTTGGGTTCCGATGTGGTGTTTCAAACTGCTTAAGTCACTTATTTGGTGTCTTCAACTACCATTTTGGTTGAATTTGTGGCTTCATAACTTGCAGCCCCGATTGAAATCATGGACCCACAACTGGGTGGGGTGCTTCATGCCATTCGCCCTTCTCCTTGTTCGCAGCAGGCGACCAAGACCTTTTTAAGTTCGTGATTGACTATCACCGGGACCGTAACTGAGATGAGCTTAGAGCAAAAGCTCTGAAGTTTTCATGAAAAGTCCACATATGTCATTAGCTTTTAGATTGGAACACTTTTGTCAAACTCCAAACCGGTTTCATTGTCTGCTTTTCTTAATTTGTTTGTCACTATGTCTTCGGTGTCTGAAAATAAGGTGCCCCAGATATTTGGATGGTTTTAGCATAATTTTCCTGAATGTATCTCGTCACATGCGGTTTACACACAGGAAACGCATCAGAAGCTTGTAGAAAATCATTGATTTCATGACTCGTGTTCCATGCTGTTTCACTTGTTTAAGATCTCTGAAATACGTGATTGCGTTCTTCTGGAGACAGCGTTCCATGCAGAAACAAAATTAGGCATGACTTTGGCATGACTTCTTGGATAGAACATTTACAATGGTAAATGCCCTTCAAAATCATGCCAGGCATGACCTAGGCGTGACATGGTCTTTTCCCTGTAGCCTGTTGGAAGTAATTCCCCATCTTGAGACACTTCCGTATTCGATTGTATTTCTCTTATGGTCGGTTTCTTACCCCCATTATCCCGCATTCATTCCATAGATTTGTTGGGAAACCAATCCGCATATCATTAATGATTTCGGTGGCGTTTTTCGGTGGCTTCGGCAACGAAAGTCCCAGTTCAACTGACAAACAGGGTGGGGAACAGGGTCATGTCAGTGATGATTCAACCAGCACAATTTCATAGCGATGGTCATGTCATCCATAAATGATTGGAAAGTATCTAAATCCCTAATTGGTTGATGGATTTTATTTGCTTTTGTGGAGATGACTAGTCAGTAGATCTTTCCTAAATTGAGTATAGTTTTACCTTTTCATGTTTTCTGGATATCACTATAATGGGCATTCTACCCCAGCGAATTGTGATTCAAGGACAAAGTGGCAACACATTAACCACTGAAAAAAATGGTGTGTTTGGCTTGGAACATGGTGACTCCATTTTTAATTGTGATTGTTTATATGTTGACCCATTGTAGATTTACCCATATAACATTATTAGTAAAATTGCTAGCCAGCAGAATGTGCTTGCCATCATCCATCCCTAGCCAACTTCTGTACAGCCAAAGCGCCAAAGTCTGGTGGTGCCAAAGATGTTGTCACATGTCTTTGGATTTGGCTTCACATGGGCCACAGGATCCACCAATGGCAGAATTTGGATTTATCCCATCTCCAGCCTATAGCATTAAATCCCTCCAATAGGGGCCCAAAAAATGATTAGACCGATTACTAGACAAGCGGTAGTGGTGGGGTATTTAAAGTTATTTTTAGGGGAAATTAAGGGATTTCTTAGTGAACATCACCTGAGTTGCTTTGAGATCGTGGTCTGCCCGCCAGCACATGTAATCTTCCACCATGGGAAACGTCGCAGAGGAAATGTCCCGCATCTTGATGCCTGTCCTCACCCAGAAGATTTCACATAAGTAGTGATTTCGCATTGCCTTCGTCAGATTAGAAGAGAGTGTGTAGGCAATCTAAGAAAGTTCCGTACCACATTGAATTGGTAAGACTCCAGATGAATGAGTAAAATCCGTTGGGTTTCCACCTAAGCTCATCAATAGATATGAACTTTCCATACCCAGTCAGTTAGTCCGTGGAGTCCATACCCATTTTGTTTTCAGCCAAGCTTATGCCAAGGCAAAGTCCATCTTCCCATCAACATCTCCAAATCGGCCGTGCTCCACGAGCTGAAGCGCTTTGGCTTGGAAGCCACGGAAGACCAGCGACTTGGCGAGGAAATGGTGGGAGGGGGAAACCGATCTACAGTGTGTCATTTTGTCAACAAATCCCTTTTTAATGCTGAAAATTTGTTTTACCAAGAAATGTGGGTTATCCACCGAAATGGACTGTCTTAAGCATTGCTGCAGCTTGAATTCACTGAGAAAACTGTGCTTCTTTTTTTGCCATGCGGAAAATTGGTTTCAAGAAGCACACGGTTTTCATGAACAAGACTCAACCAACAACCAACAAATCTATACAAATCTGACATTAAGGGTGATTGAAGGGATAATGTTCAAGTTCAATATGTGTTTATCATACAAATGCGAAGGAATTCTGTTCATGGTCCATGAAACCAATTCTGGAATGCTGGGATGAACATGCATTTCCATGAAGAGTGGAACATCCGAACAAATTGGGCCCTGAAAGATGCATGTGTAGCACACAAAGACATGTTGGTGGTCCCCAAATAGACATCATTTTCATGTTTCGAGATGGGAAGATCACACATGTCCGAAGCATATCTCATTAATACGGTACAGGAACTATTTCATAACCAACTGCCAAAGGGTGACCTTTCCAAAGAAGTTCCAACGATGGCCCGGCCTCTCCACAAACTGGTCGCGAGGCTTGTGGAAGATGCCGTTCGCTTCTCCTCCATGAAGAGGAAGATGTTGGACTGGCAAGGCGAAAGCCAAAAAATGAGGCAACGGGCGGCCGAAGAGTTGCTGTGCAGTGGGATTATGAAGGCGGCGGTGGAGAAATCGAAAGAAGATCAAGGAACGGGCTTCACTTTGAAGCGAGATGACCTGCGCAGCGCGTTGGGTCTTGATGAGACGGTGTTCAACAACCTATTCTCTGTCGTGGCAGGGAAGAAGCCCTGTGAGTCTGAAGTCCTGCAACGGTTTGCACGCTCGTTTGGATATTCAATGTCGGTGAGTAAACCTCGTGGCCAGTTCTTGGCGGGCAGCACTTGGAATGGGTCCCATAGTCTGAATGTGGTATTCACGCCGCATTGATTTGCATACAGCTGGCAAATGGCAGCTGCAATCGTTTCTGCAGCCTCAAGAGTCTACCCATGATTTTCCAGAGATCTGGATTTGAAACTGCACACACGTCTCGGCACAGCACCTCTTTTATAAAAATTAGACGGACTGTGTGGATTCAACCTGGCCAGTGGTTTCCAGCATGGGAGTTTTGCAACACAACAAAACAGAGTCTGAGCACATATCAAGCAATCGCTTCCTTTGTGGCTTGATTAAGCTACTTTGATTAGAAGTTTTCCACTGTTTGCTCAGGAATTGCAGGAACAGAGTCTGCACCAGTTGTGGGACCGAGTGAAACCACCACCCGGCCCACTAGACCGAAAGACAGCAGCGTGGATTAAATTCGCTACAGCCATAGGTGGGTTGATTTACAACTAGGCGAACTGCTGGATTTGTGGTGGGTGATCCAGCCATCATTTCCCTAGAGGTCAACCCTTGCCTGAAACCCACTGACCGACTGGTTATTTTTTGCATTTGAAACCACCATTTGATGAATACATATGCCATATGCATTATTTGAAGAAAATGATCTAGAGTCACAGATAAAATCACAGCGAGAGAATGGGATCTTCAGTTTCAATCTTGTTGAGGGTTACTCCCTCAGCAAAGAATGTCCAAGTTTTAGACAGGTTTGTGAAAATTGCTCTAAGGTGAACGACATTGCCATGATAGAAATGGTTGGCCTTGAATTTGCCTGAATGTCGTTCTTTGCTGCAGGCCTCTCAATCAATGCACGTTTCCTATGGATCAGGAAGATTTAGACAGCACAGCGGAATAACTCCAGCAACTATATAGTTGATTCTTTATACTGGAACATTTGAGCTCTGACTGTACACGAAAGTTTTTGACAGGTTTTTGGCGTTCACCATTTTTTGAGTTGACATGCGTCACTTTTGGCAGCCAGTCGCCATGTCGTGGCCATGTAAAGGGCGAGTCGAACAGTTCTGATCTCGTTACTTTCAACGTGTCACTGGGTCAAATGGGATCCGAGCATTGTGGGGTTATAGCAAGCTCAAAATAGATAGAAAATAGTGGGAAACCTTGACATTTTGACTAGATATCATCTATAACATCTTGGAAAGACGATACAGTCTATCTTTGGGTGGCATCAGTTGTGACTGAGATCATCCCTTTGAATTCTTTGAGCGTCATCATTCTGAGGACTCACTCTGTTGGTTTTCGAGGGACCTAGTTGTGTTTCAAGGGACTTTTTTATTCATCTTGCTTTCTGAAAATTGTCGCGCCACACAGCTAAGACCGAAGCAGAACTGGCAGAACTGGAACATGTCCATCCATAATGTGGTTTTCAGCTGATTCAAACAGCTGGAGCTGCCCTCACCTCCAGCAATCTAGCCTTGCAGACAGCACCAATAAGGTTTTCTTTACTATTGAAACTGGGAATGTTCAATTGCCATCTTAGGCAGAGAGCGCAGGATTCTTTAGCCCTATGTTGATGGTGGGTCTTTGCAACTGATGTGTTGGTAGGTCTCCACTGAAAGGACCCCAGTCCCAAACCCCGGCATTGGCTCCATTGGCGGAGGATCAGAAGGAATGACAAAGCCATTTTCGTGGAAGGCATGGACTGGATTTTTATAAGTTGCCAGACCCAGAAACTGTAATAGGGCAAAAAGTGTTTCATACTTGACCCATTGACACTGGATTGTAATATGGATTGTCACCAGCTTCCCACTTACTGCATGAGACATCCAAGCACTGATTTCCTCCAAGAAAAATGGGAGCACCGCAGTATTCCATTCTTGTTTATAACTGCCTTTCACGTTTAAGTTTGTTGACTGGAGTCACTAAGATGCTGCATCTTTTGATTTGCTTACTTGTAGTCGACCCCTCCGAAAATGCTGGTCCTTGCGGATGCGGCAGGCGACCAAGACCTCTTCAAGCTCGTGATTGATTATCATCGAGACCGCGACTGGGATAGAATTATCACCTTGAACCAGGAACAGACCTTGAGAGAATTTGCCACGCCCTGCTACCTTGCTTTCATGCACCGTTGATCTTACTGTGGCACCTACGGATTAAGAATAAAAGACGACAAAGAGTGTGGGTCGGGTTGCATTGCCAAGACTCTTTGGTCATTCGCTCATGAAATTTGGGAAAATTATAGGGACTGTAGAGCAACCTCACCATATATGGTAATAAGTAAGGGAACCATGTCAAACATGTGTCTGACTTATTTGGACATTATCACCATGTGCCCAGATGAGTTCATGTCTCTGTGACATGTCATTCACATTCTCACCAATGTCCACAAGCTGGAGCACACAGCATTGGCGCTTGGTTCCGCAACAACATGTTTTTTTTGCACTATACTAGAACATGCCTAGACAGAAAATCGTCGATGTCTGAAAGCATACGCCCGACCATTTGCGTATTCATCTGTGTTAGTTATGTCATGTGTCTATACGCATTTCATTCCAGTGAACCCACATGAGTTTTAAGATGTTTTAAGTAGACGAGACTTCACATATGCAAATGCATGCATATGTAAATCTAAATATAGATACAAAAACATAGACCCGTAGTATATTCAGATACTATAATTTAGTTGAACCCCACCCCGAGGCAAAGTCATTCCTCCCCATCAACGTGGCCAAAGATGCCGTGGTACGCAAGTTGAAGCGCTTCAACTTGGAAGCTGCAGATGACCAGCAACTTGGTGGCCTTTGGCCAACAAAATCATGTGGTAGTTGCTTGGAAAATGATGAAACATGATGAAACTATAATTGCAATGAATGCAGTAAGTCTTGGGATACCATGAGCAACAATTTGATACTGTGTTATACTCACAGAATCATGGTCAGAGTCATTTTTTTTGGCATGTACTTTAAGGACTTGATGTGTCATGTGAATATGACCAATAACAAAGATATTGCTTCGTCGGTCGATTAGTTGGTTGATGGGAACATCTAAATAATATGGGGACTATATGGTAAACAAATGTGCATTCTTACCATCAGAAGATGGTGATATAGTTGATAAATGATGGTTGGTTGATGATCAAGGGTGCCACAAGCTACCTTTGACCTTTTGTATGCTGGGGATTATCGTGATAAATTCTGACAAAAAGCAGGAATCTCTAAAAACCAAATTCAAGGGTTTCACATGGGTCTCTGACACTGCTGCGTTTTTTTTGAGATGTTCAAAGCATCACATGTCGATGTATAGGGATAGATAATTATTGTAGATCTATGGGATTTACTAAAAGTGGGAGTCGATGGGTTTCTTAGGATGGTTCATGTGTATCAAAATATAGATTTTGAGCCAGCGAGGACTTTGACCAATCAAAGGGATTGGAAAATCATCAAAACTGACGATAGCTCCATTTGTTAAGGGATGATAACAGCCAAAGCAATAACACATCAAGAGTTGTGGATTCAACCTAGTCCAAAAACTGCTGTATGTTTGTTTGTTGACACCGGCCAGGTTTGAGTTTACAATTCTCTCCATCCACCATCCTTTTGCAAGTTCTATCCTATCACTTATGTGTGGACTCTTTCTGATCCACTCAACTGACTAAAACGCTGCTTGTTATTTGGGATTTCTCAGTTTTGGGGGTTTCAGTGCAGTATTTGACGGGGTTTCAACAAACGAGACACCCAACTACCTCCCCCCAGCTTTCCAAACCATCACGGGACCATTGCGAGGATAGTGGAGGATGGAGTTTCCTTCTCCTCAGTGAAAAGAAAAATGAGCGATTGGCGAGGCGAGAGCCGGAAGATGAGAAAACTTTCGGCCACAGAGATGCTATGCTTGGGGGGTCCTTTTGCATCATCCCAGTCATACATGTATCATTGCCCAACAATGAATCCTCAACTGGAGATGGTTGATTCTTGGGTTTACCACATGACAAGTTTTGGGGGGCATGGTTGTGAATACCTCCCACACGGTAGAGTTGAACAAATAAGATTCAGTAACTATAGTTTTTTTACCGCATTGAGTAGGTTTGTAGCAAGGTTAGCTGTTGTTTATTTCATTGGTTTTTCTCTGCAGTTCTCTGAAGGCAAAAACTGACCAACAAACCATAACTTGAGGGCCACTTCCTGAAAGGTATGTAGAACCAGCCAGATTGGGAACAGAAAGGTAGTACAATGGGCTGAAACGGGTGGATGGTCTTGAGCTTTACACTCGACAAGCTATCATCTAAGGACTATTGTTCGGCATCAGTCTGTGGGTTGACAATCCACAGTTGCAAGGCATTGTGGCTTTTGTGCCACATCAAAACGCCACAGGGGCCAGTTGCATTTATAGTGTATACGTAACAGTTTACTTTGCCTAAATTTGCATGCTGGCATTTGTGGGTCCCGAAGCCTTCAATTTCATCAGTTCTCACTTCTACATCATTTCGCTGGGGCAAACTGTGATTGGAAAGAGCCGACATGTTTGGTAGGTAACCATGGCAGCTGGACTGCAGGGTGTCAGAGGACGTGCTATGTTGAAGATGTCTAAGATTGTCTAGGTTGTTTGGGCATTCAGCGCGGCTAGCCATTGTAACAAGTTGGAAGCTGCTGTAAGCTCATTGTTTGCCCCAAGGGATTCTTGTGAAGCTGGGTTGCCTTACTTGCTGCGACGAGCATCACGTCCATGTCTGCGGGCCAGGGGTGGCAAGATCTGCCAAGCGCTGCGGGAGCCCACGTTGAGTTTGCATCCCAACTCGCTGCTGACGCAGATGGCCGAAGATCAGAAGGATGACAAACCCATCTTCGTGGAAGGTCGCTGGGCCCTGATGGGTGCTACAATGGATGGGTTGTAGCCATACCATACAATTAATTGTTTTGTCTTTTGTTTGGATGGGAAAACTGGTGGACATCATCATACACAGTTTCGAACAACATTAAAATCACTTTACTTCGAGCGATCCCCGCCCTGACGCATGACACATCATCTGGAAATTTATATGCAATACATTCTGACATTCTATTTGGCATTTGTTCTGCCATATATTGTGACATTCTTTCTGGCATTCTTTCTGGCATCTGTTCTGGCATACTTTCTGGCATATATTCTGGCATTCTGTCTGGCGTTCTCTCCGGAATGTGTTCGGAGTCCAGGCGCCCGCCACAGCATCCTGAGCTGATTTACTGGTTGAATATTCGTATTACCCTTGACCAAGTTCAATTTCCAGAGAGTTTCCTTCAGATTTCCACCGGTGACTCCTTTTTTCCCCATGCGTTGCACCTTCAGGTGAGATGCGCGCCGCAGCGGCAAAGGGGCGAAGCGGCTGCGCAGTGCACCGAGCTGCGCGGTGCATTCGCAGACAAAAGGAGTGCAGTGGAGTCCTGCAAAGTGGTGCCCCATAGTTTGGGAACTTGTGTTTTTGGACTAGATT